TCTGCACCTGTCACCTCCGCCGCCGCCGCTGCCGCCTGGTGCCAGGCTGTGGGCAGACCCAGGCGGCGGCGGCAGAGGCGGCAACGGCGTTGGGGTCATCTCCTGCCGCCTGCGCCTTCGCCTGGGTCCCCTGCGCCGCCACCGGTGCCCCACGTGCGTGGTGGTTCCTGGAGCGCAAGCTCTGTGCCTCCTCGACCATTTTTGTAACTTTCCCCCGGGTCTTCCTTTCATCCCACCCCTACTTTTTGCATAAGGAAAAAAAAAAAAGTTTGTGTCGAAACTGTCTACCGATTGCCACCTCCCAATTATCCTTCCTTCCTCCCCTGCCCCCCTTTTTTTTTTTTTTTTTTAAAGCGGCGACAACATTGTTTAGTGTTTATTTTGTTTTACGATCGATAGTATCCTTGGCTTGGTCCGGGCGGCTCCTGAGCGGCGAAGTGGCGTGGACCTCATGTAGAAATGACAATGGAAGGGGCCAGCGGGTCGAGTTTTGGAATAGATACGATTTTGTCCAGTGCCAGTTCGGGCAGCCCCAGCATGATGAATGGAGATTTCCGCCCTCTTGGCGAGGCTAGGACCGCGGATTTTAGGAGTCAGGCCACTCCTTCCCCCTGTTCGGAGATTGATACCGTAGGAACGGCGCCTTCTTCTCCCATCTCGGTCACCATGGAGCCCCCGGAGCCGCATCTGGTAGCAGATGGGCCCCAGCATCACCACCACCTACACCACAGCCAACAGCCGCCACCGCCAGCCGCGGCCCCCACGCAAAGTTTGCAGCCTTCACCCCAGCAGCAGCCGCCACCGCCACCACCACCGCAGCAGCCACCCGCCCAGCAGCTGGGCTCCGCCGCCTCGGCCCCCAGGACTTCCACCTCTTCTTTTTTAATTAAGGACATCCTGGGCGACAGCAAACCTCTGGCGGCCTGTGCACCCTACAGCACCAGCGTCTCCTCTCCCCATCACACCCCGAAGCAGGAGAGCAACGCAGCCCACGAGAGCTTCAGGCCAAAGCTGGAGCAGGAGGACAGCAAAACCAAACTCGACAAGCGGGAAGATTCCCAGAGCGACATCAAATGCCACGGTGAGTCGCGCCGCCTGGCTTCTTCAACGATCTAGCTTCTGCTGGTTCCGTCTTCCCCTCAGTCTCCCGCGAATCTCTGATGGGGAGTTATTCCGGGAGCTTCTAAGGCGATCGTGCGATAGTCAAGAGCTTCAAGAGGGAGAAAGGCCTAGGCGTGAGATTTGGGGGGCTCGTCTGAAGTTCTGTTTATTGTTATATTTCTACCTCTCAACCCTCACAGCCACTCACTTCCTTTCTTTGTTTTACTTAATTTTAATTTACTAGGAAGGGGGACTCGGTAGAGGGGATCTAACGAGAAATATTTTCGTTGATAAAAGGGAAGAAGGACTTGAGATTTTTCTAGTCGAGACCTTGGGAGTGGGAATAGGGGGAGGTGGGAGAGAGAAACAGGCTCAGCTAGCCTTGTGTCTTGAGGTGTGATAACAACGTGGTGTTTATTCTTTAATGAAAATTATTTCATCCCTCCAGCCCCCCACACACATGCACTGCATTTTCTGAACACCATCACAATGATCAGATTTAATGAAGAAAAAAAATTCGAGTTGATTAAGAGACCAACTTTGTTTTTAATTAGAGAAGCCCACAGGTAAAATTTTATAATCAGGTTTTCAGTATTTTAAAAATGCCCTTCTTACCCCAATGGCCCCACTGAAAAGCTGCATTTTAGTAAGATTTTTGGCTCCTTACAGGTAATTGAAATGTAATATTTATGAAAATGAAAATTTATGGAATTGAATTTATCTATTTTTGTCAAATCAGAAGATGGCAAATGAAATTGTTCTTCAGCTTCCTTTTTCCGTTTTATCTTCACACAATTTCATAGGTTTTCTGGTCTTTATGGGAAAAGTGTTTTAACATTCCAGGAAAGTTCTTTTTTTCTTTCCCTGATAAGTTATTATAATCATCATCATCATCGTCATCATTATTATTATTAATCTTTTCCATCTCTGGGAAAGATGTGTGCTGACTGGAAGGCAGGATATTGGCTCCTCATTTTACTATTATAGCATTAGCATAATAGTGCCCAAAACAGATGTACAGTCTGGTCTGGCGATTTTTTGTGCACCAACCTCCCCAGTGGGTCAATTAGAGAGATTATTGTTCTTCCTGCAGGGAAGATCAAGGAGCGCAGCAAAAACGGGTACAAACAGAGAGGGATTGACATATCGATTTCCCAGCATTTCAGTAAAAAACCAAAGTTGACAAATAGAATCCGGAAATCTCAGGGCTGTCACCTGAATGGGCTCAGTGATTTTGAGCTCAGCTCGGTGTCTGGGTGACATATTCTTCCTGAAGCTTTAAAAGACCTGATGCAAGCAGCTGCAGAGAGCTTTTTGATTTCAAATTTTGATTTCAAAATTTCCCAAGTGCACCTGAAAAAGGAAAACAAATGCCTCTAACTTTGAGTAAACAGAAAAATAAAATGAAAAAGGTGCCCCTCCTCAGAAAAACAAAGTAGAAAGACCTTTTTTAAAAGTACCAAAGCAGAAAAATATGAAATCATAGTGAAAACAATAAAAGACCGGGACAGGGTCTCTCAGTTAAGGAAACAATAACAAAAGGACCCTTTATTGTAAAGTATATATTTTTTTCTTTTTAACTTTTGAAGGTAGGGAGATCACATGTCCTTTTTCGAACCCTTTTAGGAGCTCTGCACAAAGCTCCCCAATCCACAACCAGAAATTGGTCCTCTTCCTTCATATTGACTAAGGTCCAAGTATGTGTGTGAGGAGGGTGGCAAAATATAGTCCCCTGAGGCTAGCAGCTGGCTTGGGAATTTGGAAGTGTGTGCTAGGAAGACACTCTACCCTCCTCTATTCCAGGCTTCTTTACTCAACTGTGTCTGGGTTTCTATCTTAGGAACAAAGGAGGAAGGAGACCGGGAGATTACGAGTAGCCGAGAGAGTCCCCCAGTGAGAGCCAAAAAGCCTCGCAAAGCCAGGACGGCTTTCTCGGACCACCAACTGAATCAACTGGAACGTAGCTTTGAGCGACAGAAGTACCTGAGTGTGCAGGACCGCATGGACCTGGCGGCTGCGCTTAACCTTACGGACACCCAGGTCAAGACCTGGTACCAGAACCGCAGGTAAGAGAGGCTGTGTTAGGGACCAAAGGTGTTTAGCCATCCAAGTCGCGACTATGGCGCCAACCTTCCCTCTCGGCCTTGGGAAACTTTAGGGACCTTGAGGGCCAGGAGTGGGTACTTGGGGGCTTTCAAGCTGGAGCAGGGATTAGCCACACCCCCAAGGTGAAAGCTGACCGATGGGCAGCTGAAGTTTAGAGAGTTTTGCATTTCTAAGTGTCTTAACATGTCCTCCATTCCCACTGAAACCCTCAAACCCGAGTGGCTGGAATACCCCCGCTTTGCCCCCAAATCAGTCAAGCCACACCTTCTCAAATTGAGACATCTGTGCAGCTGACACCCAAGTCTGTAGAGCCTGCACGATGCACCCTTTGGGCCTGCTCCAGGCTGGTTACGAATATCTATAGCTGGCCACGCATTTGGTCCCAGAAGAGCTGCCTCACAGCATCGACTCAAGCATCCTTGCCTTGGCCTGTGAGGCAGCCAGGAGAGGTAGGGTAGGCAGCTGTAGGCGGGAGAATCCGGCGGCGGGCCAGGAGTCAGAACTGAGGGTCTGTCCCCTGTATTGGCTGCCTTAGAGCCTACCAGGAACCACTGCTTCCTTCGAAAAGAAATTAGGAAAGGCACTGGTGGCTTGCAAGCCCCTGAACTGTAGAGTGAACCTGAGCAACCTGAGGCCCACGCTGCGCTGTGTTTCCAAGCCTGGTGGTCGTGGTTGTCTCCTAGTCTCGATTTTCTCTCCCCCTCCTTTTCTCTCGTTTGTGTTCTAATCGTTCATAAGTGCGGTTGGAAATGCCCATCCAGTTGTCATCTTTACCATAATTTTCTGTCTCATTACATACGGTTTCAGCCACCCTAATTCTGTCAGAAAACATTAGTGTCATTTGTAGCCAATTTAAAATGGGCGACATGTTTATTAATTTGGCTGGATCTGCCGGGTATGGACAGCCCACCAGCCCTGAGTTCCATCATGAGGCACTTGAGCAAAGTCCTGCTCGCCTCTTCTTCCTAGCGGGGGTTCGGTGGGGGAGGGAGGAGACCGAGAAAAGCTGATCACAGGTTTTAATTGTTACTCTCTCCCAGAGGAGCAAATATCTTGAAATGCATTTTCCCCCCTCCCAGAATGGCCCCGAGGTACTGTCCCCTTGGGAGAGCCCTCCCTCAGACGAATTCCGATTGGAAACCTTGTCGTTTTCCTGGCCCTAAGCCCCCTGCCTGCTATAAGGTCCTGTCAGGCTGATGAGAGAGACGTGTCTCCACAGCCCTGGGGACGGAGAGGGGCCAGGGTCCAAGGCCCAGGAATCTTTGTGTCCCTTTGTTTACCATTTCTTCTCACTGTGCCTGGAGGAAAGGGGGAGGAGCAGAGAGCGACACTCTGGGATTGTCGGGGAGCCACTCACTCCTGGAAGAGAATTAGAGGAGGAGGGAAAAGAGAGTGGTCTCAGGTGGCCTCCAGGAAAGTTTCAGGAAGTAGCCAAACCATAAGGGGCAACAGCAGAGCAGATCAGGAAGCAAAGCTTGTAGAATTTCATTTTTGAATGCCTCAGACAGTGAAGGTGTAATTTACGAAACTGACTTGAATTTCAGTTATTCTGTGAACAAGAGTGTGGGGTGGCAGCCAGAAGATGTGGTCTCTTCCCGGTTCTCAGAGCTCTCTCAGCTCTCCTGACCCCGGAGGAAGATAAGGCAGAAGAGGGTGAGAGAACGGGCCTTAGTGCCTAGACCGTGCCCACAGCTTTGGGGTGTGTGCACGCCCGCTTTTTTTCAGGACCAAGTGGAAGCGGCAGACGGCGGTGGGCCTGGAGCTGCTGGCCGAGGCGGGGAACTACTCCGCACTGCAGAGGATGTTTCCGTCGCCGTATTTCTACCACCCAAGCCTGCTGGGCAGCATGGACAGCACTACCGCAGCGGCAGCTGCCGCCGCCATGTACAGCAGCATGTACCGGACTCCTCCAGCGCCCCATCCCCAGCTGCAGCGGCCCCTGGTGCCTCGCGTGCTCATCCACGGCCTGGGGCCCGGGGGACAGCCCGCCATCAATCCCTTGTCCAACCCCATTCCAGGCACCCCGCACCCCCGGTGAAGAACAAGAAGAACGAGCGACGGCACTGCAGTCCCTTCCCCCATCCCCTCCCCGACCCGGACAGCTGTCCCTCTTCTCCCCGCACCGGGCCAACAGGCCTCCCTAGCAGCCGACCAGGGAAGCAGAGAAGTAAGAGGAAGATGCTCACCAGTGGGCTGGGGCCCCCAAAGAGGAACCAGCCCTCTTCTCTCCATCTCCCCACCCTCAGAGACAGGGCTGGAAAGCTCTCCCACAGCAGTGTGACTGGCGAAAACGCTGACCCCACACAAAGTGCGTGACCAGTAAGTGAAAACATCAACAAGAACAAAACCTCAAGTTCTTTTTTAAAAATGACTTTAGGGACAAGCAGGAGGGAGGGAGGGGGGAGGGGTAAGGAAGGAAGAAAGAAGGGCACGGAGAAGAAACTGCACAGGCAGAGAACTGTAGATGGACGGACAGCCTCAGATTCCGAGGCAGAGGGCGTTGCTGTGGACATTCCGTCTGCCCCAGAGAAAAGAGGAGGGTAACTGAGAACTTTGCACTGATTTCTCATGACCTTTTTCTTTAGGAAAAGTGGCATGCTCCATAATATGAAAAAAAAAATGTACATTTGAGAGACTCAGTGATAAGTGATATATCATATTTATTATATGTTGTCCAAAAAAGAGTCACTTATATACGTTAGTAAAACATGATTTTTCCTTTCATGTCTTTTTGATTCAGTAAAATAAATGCTTAGACAAAAATATAGATTTTTTTGTGATTGAAAATTACAAAAATAAAGTTTATCTTTTTTTACAAGTGATGAAATCCAAGGGAGCTGATTTTACTAAAGCAGAATGTACTGTGATGAAATGGCAGACTTGATTTAGAAAAAAATCCCTCCCGGAACATTAGGAAATTATAAAACCTGTTAAGACGTTGGGTTGACTTATATAAAACAGCTCCATTTTTCATGCTGGTCTCTTCCGAGCCGTTACTTGATATGTGTGGATTCCTTTCTTTTTAACTGGGTAATTTCAGAGCAGCCCGCGAAGCCGCGAGAGAAAGTCTGTGCACAAGGCTGCTGGTGCTGGCTAAGTGAGCGGCCAACTCCCCCTGCAGTCCTGGCCTGCCTGGCATCCCCAACTGAACCGGGTCTGTCCGCCCCTCCCTCCTCCTTCTCCTAGGCTCCTCCCGGGCAGCGAGGGTCCAGAGCGCTGGGCGGGTGGCCGCTCTGCGGGCCTCGCAGCTGTTCCTTCAGCCCGAGGCCCAGCGCCCAGGCGGTGGGACAGCCTGAGAGCGGGAGGCTGCAGGGCGCGCAATTAGGACACCCGGGGGACTCGGAGAGGCCCGGCTAACAAGCCCTCATCCAGGCTTTGATCCTTTCCTTCTCGTTCCCAACGGGGCATCCAGTCCCCCCTGTCCCATACCAAGCCTCTTGGCCCAGTGAGTTGGCTGTGCTGGGATGCTTGGAGCAGGCATGTGACTCTGGCTGAGACTGACTTGCCGAGCTTTTTATCCGAGTCTGTGGATCAGTCGGGACTACAAAATGAAAGGACCTGCCCAGAGGGTGGAGGAGGCCAGCTGCCTGCTTTAAGCTTGCTCCCACTCGCTCTCAATTTCTCTCTCTCCTCTCTCTCTCTCTCTCTCTCTCTCTCTCTCTCTCTCTGTCTCTCTGTCTCTCTGTCTCTCTGTCTCTCTGTCTCTCTCCTCTGTGATTTCTGTGCCAGCATCCTGCCCACTCCCCTCCATGCTCAGCACTCAGAACTATATAAGGGAACAACTGAATTGGAGGAGGTACAGTTCCTGGGCTGCTCCAACTTTCTCCTGCCCCTAGGTCACTTCCTGAGGAGCCAGAGAGTCTGAGCCTTCATCTAGGTATCCTCATATCTCTATTCTCACTCCTGCCCTAGTACAGTGTCAAAAGGGTAAGACACATAGCTGACACACATCCAGACCCATCCTTTAACTTTCTCTGATGTTTGAACCTTACTAGAGTTAAAAACATTTTTTAAAATGTGGAGTGCTGTGGGAGCATGTGTTGGGGAGGAGTGGGAAGGAAGAAGGTAAGAAAGAAGATAAATCCAGGAGGAAATGGCCTCGGGCGCCTTGATCGGACCTTTGCTAATTAAAGAGTGGTTTGCAGATTTCTCTCCAGCTCATCAATTTGCTCTAAAAATGGTCTTGGTCTTGTTTGATTCTCACAAAATGGTCTGGACTTGCCCTTGTTCTTTTCTTCTCGCTGAGCTGGGGCAACGTCAGGTGGCTGGGCTGAGTTAGGAACTGGGAGCCACTATCTAGTGGGAATGCCTAATGCCAGAGCACTCAGTAGACACTCTTTATATCATCTTAGCCGCTGCTGGGTTTTACAATCAAGTTTAAATAGTACAAAAATGGCCTAAAAAGGCACTTTCCAAGGCTTGGTAGTACTACAGTTTCTGTCTGCACTGGCCCTGGGGCTGGTCAGCTTCTACACAAGTGAGACCTGGGAAGTCATTGGCATTCACACATCCCAAGTTGCTTACAAATACTGACCTCAAATCCAACTGGGAAAAATACACAAACAAACCTACAAATACAGACAAGGCCATAGCACCCATCTCTTACCAGCAGTCCTCCAGCAGCTCATCAGCGACTCTGCTGAGGAGCCCGCCTGCTGCCCCTTCACTCTCAAGGCTGAATTTGGTCTCCACAAATGGACAATGCAGGGGGAAGCATGATGTCTACAGAGACCACAGTTTCTTAACCTCATATTCCACTGCTGCTAAGAATTACTCTAGATCCACCAGAGTCCTCCCAAATTTGTTTTTCTTCATGTTTCCTCCTCCTCTCAACCATGCTAACAAAAGTGGCAATTATCCTTCTAAATTCGTTTTGATCGCTTCCTGTTCCATCCAAATTGGCAAATTGGTTGTGTGTGGGGAGAGTGTTGTTATAAAAGAAAGTTGAGCGCTGGATTCCTTTTTTCGTTCTTTTCTTTCCGCAGTAGTTCTGCAAAGGGCACATCAGCAAGTGCCGCTCTATTCAAATTTCCCCAAAGTACTGCTTAAAAGTCAAATGCAAACCCAGTCATTTTCCTTAAAAGGGATCCTTTGTGCCTGCCTAACAAAGTTGGCGGGTTGGCTATGAGGTGATGAGTGTGACCCCAGATTTTCTGAAACGCGAGGAACAAGATTATAGGCAAAGGTCTTTTCTCGTGGGAGATCCGGTGTTAGGGTGTTAGTCATGACGGCCCAGAGGAAAGCTGTTCCTGGGAGCTGTGCTCCTTTCTTTTTCCCACCTTCAGCTGGTATCTGAAGGGCACTCCACAGATAAACTCCATTGGTTTACTCCTTTGGTAATTTGGGCACTGGCAAAACAGGGACTCTCTGTAGTAATCTTTTCTTGGTACGGAAACACAAACTTCTTTTAGAGAGATGTTTAAACACCCATAAAGTCCCCTTAGACTTGTCCACCCCAAGATCAGCTCTGGGACCCCAGCAAACCTGGCACAAATCTGTAGTGAGTGAAATAAGATGTTAACTCCCCAGCTATCAACCAACTCTTTTAGCTCAAGCCAGCAATTTTCAATGAATTGCAAAGTAATGATTGCTCTTGACTCCATGCCTCCAGCAAATATACCTACTACCTTGTATCAGTTTATTTTTGCTCCACCCCTTAAAATGAAAGCCCACATGATGGCAAATTAGACAGCCAATTTCCCATGTTGCAAATAAAACCGCTTACCCTCAAATCAAGATTTCCCTCCTCCTCCCTCCTTGCCATCTGACTCCTGCCTAGGCAGCCCTTCCCCAGGAGTCTGCTGAATCCCACCTCCCCTCTTTAAACAAGCGGCTTGTGAGTAGTTTGTTTTGTTATATTTTTAACTTTCTAAAAATATTTGGAAAAGCTCTCCCCAGGGCTAGGAAAACTTTAGTTTCTAGTAAGTAAGCCCCGTGGTTACAAAAAATATTCTGGAAAAGAGGTGCCTGGTTTTCTGAAAAGCCAGGCACGACTTGACAGGCACACTTGAAGTCAACATGCTTAGAAAGAGACTGACTTTCCACCACTGGTGAGAATGGTCAGGAGCAGGGCGAGCCTCTGAGGGAATTGATGTTTCCTTCATAGCTCTGAGTTATTGGTGAGGGAAAGCTGGCTTGCCCTGTGCCTTGTCTGTTGGCTGGAGAGGTGTGGGTGGAAAGGTGAGTGCGGACTTCTGCAGGGTTTACCCTATGGACCCTGGAGCAGTGCCTCTAGATTCCTAGAGTCTCCCACAAGGTCTTTGTACAGTCCTGCTTCCTTGGCCAGTCCCAGTCTTTCTCTCTATCATTTGCCTCT